GAAAAGGGGCAGCAAGCTCGTTGATTTCCTGATCGGAAATCCAAAGAGACGGTAGGCCACGAAAAGTAGAAACATGCAAATCTGGAAAAGGAGTTTTAGAACCAGCAAGAGCTTCCAAAAATGAACGCGAATGAGCAACCCCCCAAAAAAAACCAGGGTCTTTAAGCTTAGAAGACGCCATGCCAGCAGAACCGGCGAAAGAAGGAAAAAACTAAAGTTACCAAAAGAACATGAAGAAGCAGCGAAGAGGAAAACTTCCCTGAAAACAGTAGATCACCGGAGAGGAAACCCCCGCCAGGCGAGGGAGAAAATCCCGGAGCCAGGAAACCCTAGCAGATCGGCTAGGGCGAAAAAAAGATGGAGGTTCGGTGCAGAGTCTGGGTTAAAGTAGCATATAATTGCCAGAGAAAAGAAAATATATTAAATCTCAGGAGAGATCGATTAAATGTTGTAGAGAGTCAGAGTGAATCATTGGTACAGAGCAGGTTAATGAACTTATTCTTTAATATTATTGAATTGATGACATCAATTATATAGAAGTAGGAGTAGTTATGTCGGAGAAGTTGGCTTTCTTGCTGGAATAAACACGTCATACTGAGACCCCCACACACACGAGAGAGGCATCTCATCAAAACAATGCAACATAAAGTTGCACAGATTCTACGCTTATAATTTCGTCAAAGGACCATTAAAGCCTTTGCACAGAATTAAAAATTGCAAGCAGCTGTTGCATGTTAGTTACCTTTCTATGAAATTGCAAGCAAAAACTCTCCCTCTATCTCTAATTTGCTATATTATTCTAATTGTCATAGCTAGATTTGTAAGTGCTAATTAGCCCAAGTCAAGCCAAACCCTAGAAGAGGTGGACTAAAATTGGCATCTGATATTTGGGAGATTAGAGTCTAATCCTAGTTAGTATGACATAAATTGAGTAGCTAGCGTGCACAGTCCAGGCAACTTCATCACTCCATGCATTTTGTTTATTCACCAAGTCAGCAATGGCTGCTATAGTACAAATACGGATATTTTCTAATTATTTGCAACATTAACGATCGGGTGGATTTGAAGAGGGAATCTTACAAAATCTTAGCGGATCTTAAGTTATGTTAAACATGTCATCTGCTGCGGACTATTCACATGCAAGTATCTAACCAGTTAGCATATGTGGGGTTAAAAAGTTTCAGCAAATGAGAAAAGAAGAGAGGGGGGCAGAAGGTTCATCGGTAGGAGGTAAAAAGTTAAAGAGAACTGGTGATTTTATTCACAAAATTATCAACAAAGACAAGTATCCTGTAGTCCGGTAAGTGATAAAAGTGAGGATTTTGGTATGAAGATGAATTTGGTCGCAGATCACACAGGAGGGCCACAGCTCTCAACAAAGCGATGAGTTGACAGTTCATGGTGGAACCCTCTTGTATCTTTCCCACAACTAGATACCAAAACAATTTAATAAGGATCAGATGGCGTAATTAAAAGAAAAAAAAAAGCCCCCCAAAATCCCCCAACAGTCTAAAGAATCCTTTGTCATCTCATTCAAAGGATCTCTGCGCACTCATCCATACAAGAAGTCCTCAGGATAAGAATTATAAAGATTGATAAGCAAGATTAACATGAATCATTCAAGTTCTATAAGATAAGAAAGGTTAAGTTAAAAGAGTCCGAGCCTTCAAGCATGTTTTACAAAAGACATAATCGGCCCCAGATGAGGATGAAGGGGGCAATAATTTGTTACCTTTACAGTGGGCTTTGAAGGATATGGATTTGTCCTTGTTTTGTCATTTTTCCTTTGATACCAATGGCCCAACAGTTTGGCTCTGGTGGGGCAGTGGAATAACCACTTCAAACCAGTCTCGTGGGCTTTGGCAGTTCCATCCTCTCTCTCTCTCTCTCTCTCTCTCTCTCTCTCTCTCTCTCTCTCTCTATATATATATATATATATATATATTTGCCAAAGCAAATAAAGGAAGGAGCAGAGAAGTAAGAAAAAGCAAGAGCTAATTTCATGCAAGGAAGCTATAGAGGCTAGGCTGCTGCTTCCTCTGGCACAGTAGCAAGTAACACCGAAATTAAATGTGGGGCATTGTTCTTCACGTGGGAAACACAAAATCCAAACAAAATCTAAGCAAAGATCCCGGAGCAAGAGCTCAGAGCCAGAGAGGTTTAAAGGAAAAGTAAATTTATTTGGGGGGTCTTAAAGAAAAAGTAGCTATGGAGGCTATTAGGACAGCAACTGAATGAGAGGGACAACAGCTTGGAAGAAGAGAACATAGCTAAAGTCAATACACGAGAGAGAGAGAGAGAGAAAGAGAGAACTGAAGGCTCACATGACATTCCGACTTTCCTACAATTCCCCCATTAAGTGTTTCATTAAAGCGCTCATCCTCCTTTCCCTATCCTCTGCAACCCTCCCAGCTAACCTCCAACATTTCTTAGCTTTTGCTTTAGCTCCTCAAAACCTTCTGTCTCTCTCTCTCTCTCTCTTTCTCTCTGCTTGAGAGGTCAACATCTAAAGGGGACTGTGTCATAAGTCCTAATCAGCTTAGATGCACTTCCATCCCACTTGTCCTAAAAAAGGATCCAAGATCCTAAGGTCACTCATTATCCAACGGCTCCATTCCCCCATCTTTGGTTTTCTCATCTGGAAAATGGGATGCCTCCTCACTTTGGTTTTCGTATGAACATGTACACCTGTAATCACCTCTACTATCATATGCTTTACCTCCAGTAATTATTTTCCATCATTGAATACTCAAGTATTCCTGTTTACAATTATATATATATATGCCTTTTCGGGTTTCACAATCCACCTTCAAATAATATAATTATCATGAAACATGTGAAGAGGAAAATTATAATATTTAGATAATTTAATCAGCATCAGTTAACATTCGATCAATTCCTTCTCTTTATCATGCATGGATGATCTCATTCTTCCCTCCCAATAATACAACCACATGCAAAATCATGTTTAGCCCGAGCAAAGTACTCAAGGTTCATGGATCAACATCAAAAGAACTTACGTGCCATAAACCCCTTTCTGCTTTTAAGTAAGACAGCTTGCAAGTCCACTGCTGAAGGCAAAATTGCCCGCATAAGGTGAAGGGAGTAATGGGGATCATTAAAGCCTGTAAAGGGCATTAATAAAAAGACAAAAATAACCAAAACAATAGGGCCTCAAGTCCACAACGGAGCACCATTTGTGAGATAGAACACTTATCACATGAGTCCAATATTGTGGGGGACTCTGCCGACTACTTGTTAAGTTCGACTGCGAAGCCAACGCGTAGAATGCTCCCACATTCCCCTCTGTACTGTGTGATTAAAGAAACCTGGGTGAAGTGGACATGCCCCACCCTATCAACTTGCTCAATGCTCATGCTGTAAGTCCATCTCTATCTAACCCTAACCAAAAAAAACTTATTTTATATATTTTTTCTCATAATTTTTTTATATTTATTTTTAATCATATATTTATATTTATCAACATTTCAAATTAGTCATATTTATAATTTTTTTAACAAAAAAAAATCTTACTCGATAAAGGATGAGAAGTGATTTTTTTTTTTTTTTTTCTTTTTGGCCTTTTCTGCAGTCATATAGCTATTCATCCACACTACTCCCTCTCACCGTTACCCCTTTGAGCTATCTTGAAAATGCCTGACATTAAGAGCTAAGAAGATGCTAATTAGGACAAGATTATCTTAAGAACGCCTTTTGTCCAATACATGAAAGGATCGTTAGCTATAAAACTATTTTGTTCTTATTTTGCTTCTTCATATATTTAATAATGAAGATAAATTCCTCAGCATAAAGTCAAATGGCTAGATGCTGCAATAAATAGAAGCATTGATTGGCTACTAGTCAGGAGCTAAAGACAATACAAACTAATTGCAAAGCCTTAAGACAATACCAATAAGTTCTGTTTATCTTCGCTAAACCCAAACTTTGTCTTATTATATAACAAGGCTAAAAGATAAATAGAAGCAACTATGACCAAACTTGAGAGAAAGGAAAGAGGCCACGTTAAATTGGATGCCTTGGCTAACCATCAATAGAACCAATTTTAAATTTTAAATGGAACTTTGATTTTGGGATTTTAGGGTTTTCATCCGTCCTCATAATCCCAAGAAAGACCGGGAGATAATATTTAATAAAAACAGACAAATTTGCCACCAAGAAAAATGGCTAGGCTCACCACCCAAGCCCACCAGTGAGCCATATTATCCCTGCCCTAATTGGCAGGGAATACAATGAGACTAATGGCATAAACTTCATATTGAGAGTATAAACATACAAACAAGTGAGCAAACTTCATATTGAATGATAAGATACCAAGACAACATAATAATTATAAAAATAATTAATAAATGATCCTTTTCTTGGGGCATTATGCCACCTTGGAGATTTCTTTTTCCCAGACCCAAACTGAAATAAGCCACGAAAATCCAATTTTATCCAGAATGTTGTAAATAGTATGGCATAAAAGATGGCGATCTGGAAGCATGCTAATCGATTTTGTGTTTGGCAAATCTAAAATATACATCCATTGCATAGACATTAATATGTAGACAACCGCAAACCTCTTCGAGCATCGGCAATAACAGAATAGCCTGTTGGATAGTTTGAAAAATATTATACAGAATTACATGTTTGCTTTTCCAATCAAAATGGAAGTCCCAGTCAAAATTTTACTAGCTTTCTGCTCTTCATTCAAACTTATCATAAACTTTCAAGTAAAATACCCTTTCAAAACTCAAAGTAAGTATCTAAATTCTCAACAGCCAAATCCACCTTTTTCTTACAAAAGAAATCCTCCAAGATTTCTTATTATAAAAATACCCATTTTCCCGTGAGAAAGTCTTCTACTACACATTCCTTGGTGCACTCAATCCATGGTTTAAAACAAACATATCGGAAATCAAGGCAATTTTGAAACATAAGATATGGAACCAAATCGAGGTATAGGTTTCAAATTAAAAACAAAACAAAAAATCATAAAATTAGGACAGCAAAAAACATAACCTTAATCCATAGAAGACACATTAAAAGAAAGCATACAAACTTTAAAAAATTGAATATAAGTTATGAGTTCGAAAAAACATAAAATATTAGAAACATGTGATAGAATTAGACTCTAAAAGAGTCTTTTATGCCCCCCCAAATCAACGTCATCATTTTCATTATCACAAGCAGGAGTGCAGGGCCGTCTAAAGAATTGTTGTACGTGATATATGATAGCTCTATAATCTTCTCCATCACTCCTATGTCAGTCATTCCATCCATCTTCCTCATCCAATAGTACTATCGCTTTCTTCTTTCCTGCATAATAAGTAAACTACTAATAAAAAAAATATTAAATAACAATATATTACATATTTCATAATAAACATACTTAACTTTCCTCTAAAGTATTTGATGTTTAGCCTTGATTACATTTGGTGGATATTTGCGAACTTCCACTTATATTATAATAGCAACATAAATGTTAATATCTTCATTATTAGCTGAACCAATAGCATTTTGCCATTTTCTTTATTTCTTTCCTAATCTAGGCTAACCACCCGTTCATCAACTGATAGCAAATCAATAAGAATTAAAGGATTATCATCATCATAATTGTCACCACGGCACAAAGTTCCCGTGGAGCCACGGCGCATAGCGCACCGCACGCCTTTTTAAACATGGCACACAATAGAAAATTATATATATATATATATATATTAATCATGATATTAATATGTAAACCTAAAAAATATATAATTATAATTTATAATTTGAAATTTATAATAAGTTAACAAAATAGCGCGCGCCATGAACGCCTTGCGCCATGCGACATTGCTCATGCACGGAGCAAATAGCACACGCTATTTTGATGCGTAGCGCCGCGTGAACATCATTTTGCACCGCGCCACGTGCACACCATTTTGCGCCATTGACATGTATCATCATCATCCTTACATGCAGTTAACCTGAGATGTTTATATTCTAATTTTTTTACTGTGCATGACATAAATCAATTTGTTTATCCTAGCCACAGTCAAACAATTTCTTCTCTTTGTATCACTAGGTTGAATATGCTCAAATTTCATTCACATGCAAAAGCTAAACACGTTAAACTAAGACTCTGACTACAAATTTTTTGTTTTAATTCTAGCATTTCATCTCCAAAGTACATCCACAAATACTCTAAATCACGAGTTAGAACAAATAAATTTAGAACAATATTAATTATAAATTTAATCATAAGTTCAATATTCAAAGTTGATAGATATCTTACGTACCAAGTGGACTTGTTTTACATGATAATTGGGCAGCTCTCATGCCAAACATTCCATTTTTATGATGAACTCTTTAAGTTGTTTATCAAACTTTTCAAAATCTTTTGACGAGCTTATAATTCTTTCCATACATTTATACAAAATAATTCTAGCATTTGCAAATTCAAATAAGAATTATCATCAAAATGAAATGAATGATTTAGAAGACAGCCACGAGAGATCAAATCACCATATAATTAGTTGTCCCATTTTTTATCAATAAGTTCTTAGATATCTTTATAAGATGATTCTTCTCCACCTACGTTCTTTGTTATTTATTCTTTTGCCTCATTTATAACACCATAGATAAACCCCATTGTACGACACCTTTCACCATCAACCATTATTAACACTTCAACTAAAGGTTTTGTGATTTTAAGAGCCTATATCACACTCTACCAAAAAGTATTATGCCTTAATATAATTTTTTTAATTGCTTCATATAATTTTTTTAATTGCTTCCCTTCGTATTTTTTTTGCCCGTGCACTATTATTCCATACTTAGGAAGTAAATATTGCTAATTAATTGATTCCTCACTCTATGAATGTTTTGCAAAGTCAAATAAACAGTAGTAAATCTTGTGATGGCTTGTCTAACAAAATCTTTATAAATAAACTATCTAATTAAACTCAATAGCCAATTATTATTATTATTTTGAAATTACTAACTCTTTTCACTTAAATGTGGGCTCCGAAAAATTCTATTATTTGTTTGTGATGTGTGCATCCCGGCCTCTCTGCACCATCCGTCTATTTTTCTTTTATTTTTTAAGTGTGACGATGACGGCAGAGAGTTTTAACGAGATTAGGTTCCGGGGGAATTTTCAGAAGGCATATTGGGTTTTAGATAAGACACTACATAGAGATTTCGCCCTCATTTTGTGATGACTTTTTTTATATGAGTTCTGGTTTCCTATAGGCGCAAGCCCCTATAGTTAATTACCCCTCCCGATAACATGAAAGAACTTTCGATTAAGGCTAGTCGTTAAGGAGGTCATATGGATCATAAATCCAATGTATAATAGCAACAATTTTAGTTTTAAAATTTTGAATTTGAAAGTTTTAAAATTTAGAGTTTATCACCACAAACTTAAAACTGGTGGTGGGGGGAGTGAAGATGAGCCCGATCAAGATCTCATGGTTCCGTCGTCCCGGGCTGTCATGTTCCCTGGTCTACTTAGTCAGAGGAGGTAGTCGACCAAACCTGACATAAGGCACATTGTCAGCAGACATGGGTTGCTTCGTCCAAGAATACCTTGAAGACCTGGGTTGGTGTTTGTCTAAGGGGATATATCTGAATCCACCTTAGCTGACATAGGGCTTTATGCCTATCAAATATATCATATGATTGTGGGCTCCGAAAATTCGGCCCCAGCCTCCCCGCCGCGCGGATTGTGCTTTTTGTTTGGCGAGGGAGTTTTAACAAAATTAAGTTCCGGGGTAAATTTTGGAAGGCAGATGAGTTTGTAGATAAGACACTACCCAGAGATTTCGCCCTCATTTTGTGAGGACTTTATGATCTGAGTTCTGGTTTCCTATAGGCGCAAGCACCTATAGTTAATTACCCCTCCCGATAACGAGAGAGAACTTTCGATCAAGGCTAGTCGTCAATCAGATACGTAGAAATACGTGTTATCTGGCTATAGTAGCATCAATGGGTATGAAATTTGAAAGTTGAATATTTTATATTTAAAATAGAAATTTCACTATCCAGCACTTAAAGCGGATGATGGGGGAATGGATGATGGACCTGATCAAGATCCCATGGTTCCGTCGTCCCGGGCCATCATGGTCCCTGGTCTACTTAGTCAGAGGAGATAGTCGACCCAACCTGACAGAAAGATCCTTGTCGGCAGCCATGGGTTGCTTCGTCCAAGGGGACCTTGTAGACCTGGGTTGAATGTTTGTCTAAGGGGACAAATTTGAATCCACCTTAGCTGACAGAGGGCTTTGTCCCCTATCGATTATATTCTTTTGATTCATATCTCAAAGATTTGATGCCAATAAGGAACGCATTGGCTCTGGTCATAACCGCTATCTGTGGTGCCATTTAGCGGCAAAACCACTCAGTTCAGAGGGCCCCGGGTCATAACCGTTTATCTTGCGGTGCCATTTGGCGGCAGACTGCCGGGTAGAGGACACATACCACGTCCTTATTGGTAGTAGATTGTTTGAGAATGGATCCTAGTGATATTTCGACTAGGCATTTAGCTCTTTTGTGAGCTAAAGTAAGTTTTAATTTGTCCACCCGGCAAACTGTTGCGGAGGGTGGATGGATTTTAATTTAAGTATTGATGGATGTATTTCATTTTTAAATATTTCTGGATTTTAGGAATTTTTGTGGAGTTTTTGGATATTTGGAACGACGTTGGAAATTATTTGGAATGGACCCCTCCGGTTGAGATTTTTGTTCAACGCGGCCATCATCGAGGTGTTAGGGGTTATTTCCTTTAAAACTTGAACCTTGTCGACTCTGTCTGACTGTCGACAGAGGATCGAGTTTCGTATGTTTTATGCCTTTGAGAGTGAATTCTTTTGATTTTAGGCTTTGAAGGCCTAATATGAATGTATTAAACAAATATTCTGGTCATCACAGCCACATATTTGTTTGTTGGTTCAAACATTGTCGACTCCTATTGATATGTATAGAAGGATCGGGTTCGAACTTGTATTCACTTGTCAACCCGCGTAGCATCCCTAGACGTCACGTGTGTATCAATAACACGCTCGTCGGGGCCCATGCGGGTTTGGGAGCATTTTATAATTAAACACTGTCTACTCCTTTTTACCTTCCTAGGAGGATCGGGTTTAAATTTAATAACCCGCACAGTATCCCTAGACGTCACGTGTGTACCAATAACACGCTCGTCGGGGCCCATACGAGTGTTGGGGCCATTTTATAATTATACACTATCTACTCCTTTTTATCTGCTTAGGATGATCGTGTTCAAATTTAAAAACCCGCGCAGCATCCCTAGACGTCACGTGTGTACCAATAACACACTCGCCGGGGCCCATGCGGGTTCGATGATTGCTTTTACCCCTTTTAATGTACCTATGTGTATACAAATTACGGTGCACGTGTGGGGGTACTTTGAAAGTATTCATAGATGTCTTCTGTACGCTTGCATAGAAGTTGCGGATCCGGTGGCATGGCGTTATAGTTGTGGACGCCTTCTATCTGCTTGTACGAATGTTGCAGATCCGGTGGCGTGGTGTACCAGCTTCTGGATCAGTTGTTTGCTGCTTTGTACAGGTAGACTGTCGTGCACTATTTGTTGATTTTTGTAGGTGGGTCATAGTCTACAAACTAATCTCCTGCTTTGTGTTTGTCAATGCTTGTATTTGTTGTAGTTCTTTGGCATTTATTCATAGGTAGCATGTAATATTCGTAGTGGAACTCCAGTAGAAACTCGTGTGATCTTGTATATGTCGTATTCTTCATGCACTTTGTTGTGTTATTTGGCTCGTGTAGTACATCCGTCATTGCTGGAGGTAGATGTATTCATCTTTAGACTGAAGTTGACTACATGATACTGCATTTACTATAGCCTTTCTGCATCTACCCATAAGTGGCATGTTATACATACATATGTATTCTTAGAGAGTGTATGTATTGCAGATCTTTCGTTGTATATAAGGGCTTTTGCATTTATCACAATTCTTCTATATTTATCTGTATGCACATTATACATTTATTCTTCAAGAACAGGTTATTACCTTTACACGAATATCACATGCATTTGTTGTCTTTTGCATGTCATGGATATTCTACTTGCTTACTGGCATTGGATTAAAAATTTAGAACATCGTCATTCCAGATTTTATATTTTTGAACTTGTTGTGCAATCATAGACCTAAGGGTCCCAAGTCCTTGTATTCATGGCCTTGTAATCAAACTATCATTCTCATGATCTTCTTATCACTTACAAATAGGTTGATTACAAGTTTGTTGTCTTCAAAGATGATTCACAAAGGTAACTTGCAATCTATATGATGGAC